AAGGATAGCACATTCTGGCCCATTCTGAGCAACTCAGCAACTTAGCAAGCAAGACCCTGTCTCAAAACAAGAAAATAAACAAGGGCTGGATATGTTGCTGAGTGTGAAGGCTCTGGGTTCAATCCCCAGTATTGAGAAACAAAAAAATGCCTTTCTAACATGGCTTATAGCAATAAGTCAGATAAAAGTATCTATATGTATCTGAATTTTTTACAGAAAGATGTTACATAAAAGCTTGCGGACGAGGTTGATGGCGACTTGGGCATGTCTTACTCAAAACACAAAACACGGCAGCCTTTCTTCAGCAGACCAAGGCAGGCAGCCGTTCGTGACTCCCTGAACATACTGCAGTGTACTGGTTTACAGATGATTTTCCCCTTTTTTGTGTGATAGGGCAGTTCCAAACCACAAAGAATTCCTGATTTGTAAATTGGAGGTTTCTACTATGTCTTACAGAGCTTAAATTCAGAAGTTTGTGCCTCATGTATGAAACAAAGGGAAATAATATGCCCACTCAGAAGTAAGTTCCCTAGAACTTGTGGGGTTTTGTTTATTGGGGTTTTGTTTTATAATTTTTTTCTTAATGTTGACATATAAAGAGCTCTGCTGAATGTCATGAGTAGACTGAAAACAAAATTTAGGAACCTGCGTATGTTGTTTACTAACAGATAACATTTACAAAAGGTATTTGAAGAACATCTGAAACTTTTTGTGAGATAGATTAACTAGCAAGACTTCATATTTAAAAAGGAAATTGAGCTAAAGGGCAATTTACTTTTTGTACTTCAGACTATCATGATTGTCAATGTGTATGAACTGTAATTTAAAAATTTATACTGCCACATGATTGTAAAGGTTAGTTGTTTTATGTTAGGAATTGGTAAAAAGTTGTTTATGCTGGATTTGGGTCAAAATGACTTTATTTGCAAAAAAAAAAAAAAAAGTAAAAGACAACAATGGGAAGAAAGGGCTGCAGAATGAACTATTGCAAGACTCAGATACTGGTTGGAAATTTCCCTCAGATTGCCTTCCGGTTATTCTCAGTTTCCCTTTGTTTTCAGTTTCTCAAAAAGAATGAATGAAATGAAATATAGCAGAATGTTAACCCATATGAAAATAAAGTGTACCCAAGGATTGTAAAAAAAAAAAAAAAGCTGTCATTTAGCCATTTTAAGTGAACAATTCAATGGCATTAAATAAACTCACAATGTCGCACAGAAAGCACCATATTCAAAACTTGTTCATCATCCCAAACAGAAACAGTAACCATTAAGTGTTATCTCCCCTTTTCCTCTTTGCCTCAGCCCCAGGTAATCTCTAATCTAGTCTACACTATCTCTGTGAGTTGCCTCTTCTAGATATTTCATAAATGTGACATCATGCAATACTGGTCCTCTTGTATCTGTTTTATTTAATGTAGGATGAGGTTTTCAACATTCATCTACACTTTAGCATATATCAGAACTTCATTCCTTTTATTGCTGAATTATATCTCATTCCATGTATATGCCCCACTCTAATTTTTCTTAAATTATTCTTTAGCCATTTGATAAGCCCTAGTGATTGCCTCTCAGATCTTTCATGGGTGGGAAAAATAGTGTGACTAGGATAAGCCAGTTTCATATTAAAAGCAGCTAATGTCATGGTATCTGCAGAAACAAAGTTGAAAAGGTCTTAACTTTGAATTTAAGTTAATGCTTAAAGTATTATGATTACAAAATATTATTAGCTTCATAAAAGTCTGTTTAAATGGAAAAACTCAGGTAATGATTTTCTCTTTCAGCTAAACAGAATTTACTGAAAATGTAATAGAGCTTTTGAACAAGGTACTTCATTTCTTGACTTTTTTTCTTTCAAAACAGAACAATTTAAGCAACATAGTATTTCACCAGAGGACAACCCGATATAACAGTAACTACCATAACGTCTCTTTCTTTGAAATAGTTGAGCATACTTTCACATGCAATAGTATCAAACATAACAAAATAGTATAAAACCATTCAAGAGAATGAAAGTATTACAGGGCATTCAGAACCAAATAACAGAAAACGAACAATAGCTACTATATTATCTCATTGTCCATAAAAAATATGCTTATACTATCACACATAATAAAATCCAATAAGATACAACATGATAGAACCAATGGAAACAGAAGAACAAAAGCATGGTAGGACTTCTAAGCAAGATGATATTAAATCAGCACTGGTTATTATAATGTCTTATTTTTTTTTTTCAGAATAGCTGTCTTGACTTTTTAAAATGTGGAATGAAATCATATGCATTGAGATTAATGTGGCCAGCGATTTAGTTCAGTGACTTAAATGCCTACCCAGCAAGTATGAGCTGGTGAGTTTGAACCCTGATACAAAAAAAAAAAAAAAAGACACAACCATTTATTCAATAATTAGCTATTATATACCTATTCTATAATAGGGACATGTAGAGATACAAAACATATACAAACATGAACAAAGCACTTATTTAGCATAAAAAAATACAAGTGATTTTTTGCCAAATCACTCTGAAATCTGCTGAATTTATTAACCCTAGTAGATTTCTTGAGAGGTCTATTTAGGATTTTCTATATTTGAGATCACTTCATCCATGAATAGAGCTAGTTTTATCTCTTTTCAAAAAAAAGTTTCTTTTTTTTTTTTTGGTACCAGGGATCAAATGCAAAATATTGCACTTGCCAAGCAGGTGCTTGTGCCACTGAGCTAAACTCTTTGTCCTCTCTTTTCAAATTTGAATGTCTTTTATTTCTTTTTATTGTCCAATTGCTGTGGCTAGAATTTCCAGTAAATGTTCAACAGCAGTGGTGAAAGGCAGCATTACTGTCTTTGCTCTTGTTTTAAAGGAAAACCCTCTGTCTTTCCCCTACAGAATATGTCAGCTATGGATATCCCATAATGGCCGTTAACTTTTTTTTTTTAGACAGAGTTTCACTATGCATTCCATAGTGGTCCCAAACTTGCTATATGGGCAATTTCACAATCCTCCTACCTCAACCTCCCGAATGCTGGAATTACAGGTGTGTACCACCAAGGATGGCACCATTTATATCCCAAGAAAGTTTTTTATTCCTATGCAAAAGTATTAAGAGTTTTTCAATGCATAAAGATGATCATGTAATTTTTCTCTCATCATGCTATTAGTGTGCTATATCACACTGATTTCCTTTATTGAATCACTTTTGCATTCTAGAATAAATCCCACTTCGTCGCAGTATATAATCCTTTTAATATGCTGTTGAATTTGTCTTGATAGTATTTTGTTAAGGATTCTTTTATGTTTATAAAAGATATTAGTCAATAGTTTTCTTGTGACATCTTTATCTGGCTTTCATATCAAGGTAATGATGACTTCATGTGTTAGGAAATATTCTTTTTGTTGTTGTTGTTAATAGTTTTGCTATGTAGTCCAGTTGGCCTGAAATTAAATAGTTCAGGTTCGCCTTGAACTCACAATCTTCCTGCCTCAGTCCCTCTGAGTGAGGGATTATAGACATTCATTATTATCACATGTAGCTCTTCCTCTTCTATTTTTTGTAAGAATTTTTTTTGTTTTATTTTATTTTATTGACACAGACTCTCAATATGTAGTACATGCTGGTGCTGAACTAGTTACATAATCCAGGCTGGCCTCAAACTCAATGCAATCCTCTTGCCTAAGCCTTTTGATTGCTGGGATTATAGGTATGCACCACCACAACTGGATGGAAGTTCGAGGACTGGTCTTAAATCTGCTTTTTTGCAGGGCTGGGCATTGCATTAAATAAGCCTTATGCATGTTAAGTAACCCCTCTACCATTAGCTACAGTCCCAGCTCAATTCCTCTTTTTCTAGTTCAAGTCATAGAGTTAGGTCATTGGTTTAATGATCTCATTCTTTTTTACAGCACAAGCTTTACAAGGAATGGAAAAACACACTTTTTCACATTGTACTCAGTCCAACAGAGCCTAAGTTTGGAGGCTTCTCCTCATAATCCACAGTGGATACTTCAGGCTTTTCCACTCAGCACATTCTCAAGAGTTCATTACACGATCAACATGTAAATTGTTCAAAGAGGCATTCTTCTCTTTGCTGAATGCATAGCAGGCCTAGAGTGATCACAAACTTGAGTGTGGAGGCCCAGGTTTGCCTTCTCAAACTGCAACACAGGCGTGATGCTTTGGCTGCTAGGTAAGCACTGGCATAAGTGGATAGAAATCTCACACCAGCCCAACTTCGTCTAAACAGCTGGACTCACCATGGAAGTCTCCATCAAACACCTTTTTTGGGGGGTGGGGATATTTTTGCAGTACTAGAAACTGAGCAGAAGGCCTTATGCATGCTATGCAAGTACTCTATCCCTAAGCTATATCCACCTATTCTACATTTACATCTACAAATTTCCTTCAAGCACTGCCTTCACTAAAATTCTATACATTCTGATAAGCTATCTTCTCGTTTTTAATGTGTTTTCAAGTTTCTCATGTGATTTCATTAGTTAAGAGTTTGTAGTATCTGTTCACAGATGACATTTTCCTATATATAAAAAATAGACGAATTTTTAAATTTCTAGTTTTCCTTCTATTATTTCCAGCTTCATTCCACTCTGGTGATACTTTATTATGATTTCAGTTTCTTAAAAATGTACTGAGACTTGCTTTGTACCCTAATAAATGGCCTGTCCTAAATGATGTTCTACATGCACTGGAGCAAGATGTGTAGCTTCCTATTGTTGGGTAGAATATCAGTTTATCTAGTTCACTTATAGTACTATTTGAGTCCTCTATACCTTCATTTATCTTCAACTTAGATGTTCTTATCCATTACTGTAAGTAGGGCATTAAAGTCTCCAACTCTTACTTGAGAAATGTCTATTTCTCTCAATTCTGTCAATGTTTGCATCATATTCTGGCTCTACTCTTTGATAACTTTCTAAATTCCTTTCTTAGGATTTAATTGAAAATTAATTATTCAAATATTAAAACCATTTATCAATCTCTTCTAAATAGCCCTTGTGTCTGTTTTTGTCTAAGTTTTGAACTAAGACTTACAGAAGTGCAAAAAAATAAATGGTCTTTTGCAAGCCAGAACTCAAGTGTTCACAATGAATTTGACACATGTTAGAGGGAATAGAACTGTGAGGAACAGTGGTGCATGCCTGTAATCCTGGTACTGCTAAGGCTGAGGCAAGAGGAATATAGGTTTGAGGTGAACCTAGACTACATAATGAGGTCCTGCCAAAAAAAAAAATAATAATACCTGATAGCCAATACAGTCTAAATTGATGGGGGTTGGAGAAGGGAGAACTGAAGGTTGATTCCAAGACTAAAGAGTTAATAATCAAAGCACAGGACATGAGCAATATCTCAGCTCTGTTAATTCAATACACCAATTTTCATGCTGTGACAAACAAAGATACCTTTTGTCTCCCTCTTCCTTATGTCTCGAAAACATGAAGTCTGGAGAAGTTTGACTGACATGGCAGGCCACAGTAGCTTGACTGACCAGGAGGGGAGGCAGCGCAAAGAAATACAGTACACGCCACTGATCTCCGAGCTGCCACCTCCTCCAGGCCACTTGCAAGACCTGTCCCCACGGGCCCACCGGAGGCTGCAGGAGTGCAGCAACTCGGCGCCCACAAGCTGCCCATCTGCCACTGCTGCTGCAGATCCGCCATTGCAGTGCAAAGTAATACAGTGCAGGCCACAGCAGCTTGACTGATCCGGAGGGGAGGGGCCAGCATACACTGTCCCTGTCTGCAACTCACTAGCACATGGCAGTGGAAAGGGTTATCTAGCCAGCAGGCTTCAGAAGAATTATAACCAACAAAGAAAGAAACTGGGGGCCTCCTGGAAGAAGCAAAAAAGATGGGAAGAAGAAGCAACAACAAAAAGTCCCCAGGCCCCAACCCTGAAAATATGGACCCAGGACAGGTAAATACAAAGGAGAATGAGAACAGCAAACATGCAGTATTAGACACAGGGCCAGTGGACATAAAGAGATATACTCAGGCCCTCATAGACGAGTTCAAATAAAGCAAGATATAAGAAGATTAATAAAAAAGATACTAAGCACCCCTCAACCAGACATAGACAGAAGGGAGGCACTCAAAGGAGAGAACCATTTGATGAAGAATATAAAAAAATATAGAATACACGAAGCAGATTTAAAGAGATCACCAGGAAATTAAAAACTCTGTGGAAAGATGGCAATCAGCTTGAAAGAAACTAAGGATAGATTATCCAAACTGGAGGACAATTTTGCAATGTGGGAGTAGGAAAGGGAAAACTTTTTTTAAGATAACAAGGAAACAAGCAGTAACAATACAAAGGCTAGAGGATGACAAAAAGATCTATAACTTGAGAATAAAGAATGTGAATGAAGAAGCAGGGGTACAAACAAAGGAACTACTACAAAGGTTATTCACAGAAATAATTAAGGAAAACTTCCCAAACACAGGAAAAGGAAATGATATTCTGGTATATGAGGCATACAGAACCCCAGCCACCTACAACCAAAACAGAGCTACACCCAAGCATATAATAATCAAGATCCCAGAAATTCAATATAAGAACAGAATATTAAAAGCTGTTAGAGACAAGAAACAGATAACCTATAGAGGAAAGCCCATCAGAATAACGGCAGACTTCTCAACACAAACCATCAAGTCAAGAAGAGCCTGGAGCGAAATATTCCAAGCCCTGAAAGAAAATAGCCTCCATCCCAGATTGATATACCCTGCTAAACTATCTCTAGAAATTAATGGAGAAACAAGATGCTTCCAAGACAAAGAGGAACCTGGGAAATTCGCAACCACCAATCCAACTCTACAGAGAATACTGCAGGGCATTCTAGAGAGAGAGAAAAGTACTAAGATTCCAGGAACAGTGGCAGAGAGTCCTCAATGAATGGAGCAGAAAACAGAATGAAGAGATAAGCAGACAACTGATGGCAAAAAAAAGAGCATAAGAGAAATGAGGCAGAGAACATTTTATTCAAAACTGATATGATTGATAGTATCAAGTCTGAGAATATAGGCAACTACACTGAAGATGACAAGACTCTTCGATACATATTCTGATTTGATAACTATTGGTTTTTGAAGTTCTATACTATATACAAAGTTGTGTTTTTATTAACACTGTTATGCACTGATATATTCAATTATACTATGTCTGATGATATAGCCAATTCTATTGGAGATAACAAGAGACAACACAGGAACCATGGTAGAACTCTTTGTACAACGGTCTTATACATTTATTTCATTTCATGTGTTTATAGGAATGTTTTGTTTTGCCTTGCTTTGTTTCTCCCTCTAATATAGAAAGGATAGACATACATGTTAAGACTCATGCATGTGTAGAATCTATAAACAGTTTATGAGAACAGATCTTATGACACATGATGAAGTGAACAGATACTTTGAAGAAAAAGTGAACCCAATGCTGATCCTGGAGTATCATAATGTGAAACCCAGAAATAGTATTATTCTTTGTTCAGAGTGATATTAGCCTGCTTGGGTTTATTCAATGTCAACATAATTGAAGATATGAATAACTGCATGTTTGTTTAAGTGTATAGGATTGATAACCATATTTCTAAGTTTTTGTTGGATAGTTGAACAGAACTCGTTGCAATCTCTCTGTATGAATCCCCACTTTATATGCTCCACTTTAGTATCTTGAATAACTATTTGTAAGAAGACAATCTGTAATCATCAACTAGTGATTTCTTACTGTTTATTTTTTTCTTTGAAATTATGTATTATTTCTAACTGTTTTTTGTTTTGTTTAGTCTTTCTTTAAATTAAATTTTTTTAAAAAAAAGGTACTACATTACCCAGTACTGATCACGGAGTATCATGATGTGAAATCCAGCAACACTATTATTCTTTGTTCAGAATGATTTTAACCTGCTTTAGTTTGTTTAATCTAAACATAAAAAAAAGAAATGAATAACTGCATGTATGTTTAAGTGTATAGGATTGACAACCACGTTACTAAGTTATGTTGGACAGTTGAACAGAATTGTATGCAGTCTCGCTGTTTGAATCCCCACTTTACATGTTCCGTTTTTGTACCTTGAACAACTATTTGTAAAATGACAATATGTAAAAATCAACTAGTGATTTCTTACTGTTTATTTTTTTTCTCTGAACGTATGTATTATTCCTACCTATTTCTGTTTTATTTAGTCTTTATTTAAAAATTTAAAAAAAAAGAAAACATGGAAGTCTGGAGTAAAGATATATCATACAGTGAGTGCTTAGATCATGTCTCTTTAAATGTAATAAGTGTACATTATCAGGTTAAAATTGCCACAAATTTTAAAAAGAGAAAAAAAAACCTCTTCTAAGTGGAAACTCACATATAAAACTCACATCCTACTTCATAATACAGTATCCTTTCACAATTTAGTTTCCTTTCAAAAATACCAAAATGATAAAAATTTGGAACCCTAGTTTTTTTTTTTTTTTTTTTTTGGTACTGGGATCGAACTCACAACTTGGTGGCTATCACTTATGCCTCTGAGCTAAATCCCCAGCTCTGGAACCCTAGATTTAGCTAAAAATATAATCCAATATTGTAAATGTCTAATTTTTTGTTCACTAAATCAAATGAGTAGAATATGGGCAAATGGCTTTAAAATGCAAGTTTGCTACATTTAATGCAAATTCAATTATTTGAGTTTTGAAGTATGTACAATAAATGTCAACTGTGGTATTTTACATTTTTAATTAATGCACCATTAAAAAGTTATAATACACAATAACAACTACATACATCATATAGTTTTGGAGGAGAAAAAGAGAACATAAGTCAATAATTAGTAAGTCTAGATTTTTTTCTCTTACTCTCAAATATCACAAAATTACTTTAAAATTCTATATACCAAACACTATTACATTCATAAGCCAAATGAAAACTCTTCTTAAAAAAATACTGTCAAAAAAAAATCACTGTCACTTCTTACAAAAATAAATAAATAAACTCTAAAAGATACCAGATATGGCAAATATTACCTCATTTTTTTCTTGCTTAACTGATCCTGGATTCTGTGCTCCATTTACAGGCTCTTTTTCTGAAACTGTGCTGTGGCTCAAGATTTCACTGCTAATAGGTTGCTGTGCTTCGACAGGTGTATCACTTCTTCCAGAAAGGTGCACACAGCAGAGGTGAATTAAAGAAAAAGGCATCTTAGTTAAGAGAAATTTTTAATTCTAAAACAATAAATATTTAATCTAAGTGTTTATCAAATGTTTAACATAGATATTTGATTTTGTTTTCTTCCCTTAACTGTAAAAAAAAGGTTTCTTTTTTGAGACCAAATTCCATTATGGCTGACCTTGAACTTATATAGCCTGGGTTGCCCTGAAACTTGTGATCCTATTACATCCATCTCCTGAGTGCTGGGATTATAGGCATTGTGCCACAATCAAAAACTGGTTTTTTAAAATTGTGTCCTTGTAAGGAATTTTTTAATCAGAGTCTTGCTATGTTACCCAGTCTAGTCTAAAACTCAAGGGATCTTTCTGCCTGAGCCTCCCAAGACTGGGATATAGGCACATGCCAATGTACCCAGCTGGAATATACATTTAATGGAGGAGCCTGAGGTTACTATTCAAGAAGAACCATGGTCTCAGTGTAAAATCAGTTGTGTGGTCTAGAGAAAACCTCAACTTCATCTAAAAACTAGATAGGTTGTATGATCTAAGGCTCATCTCTTCATGAAATATAAAACTGTGAATTTGTTTACAAATATTAATGCTTCTATTTTATATGATTTTACACAATTTTAAATTTTTTAGACTATTAAAAGACCTTCTTTGGTCTATGTGCACTTAACATAAAAGCAAAACATATATCTTTCCAGTATTTTTAATGTATAAATTATTTTATTGTAATGACATACATTTGAGATCTTATGTCAGACTGTTTCTTATATTCTTCTAAAACATTAATAATTTCTATTTTTCATACTTACTTTGTTCAAATGTACCAGATGATTATACAAATTATCCTTTAGGAAGTCTCTCACTTAACTGATCCCACTTATAGACCCCTCTCTCTTTAAAGAATATTAAACAAAGCATTACAATCCCTTTCCTCTACAATATCACAGTAACTAAAC